GTGTGTGTGTGTGTGTGTGTGTGTGTGTGTGTGTGTGTGTGTGTGTGATGGTGTGTGTGTGTGTGTGTTTGAGTCAGTGATGGGATCAGCAGACGTTGCTGACATTCTTTGTGTTGGTTTTGGGGTCTCTCATAGGGTTCTGGTCCGTGTCAGCCTGCCAAACACTCACCACCTCCACTGTGTTCTGATCCGGTTCTAAAGAAGCAGGCTCATCTCAGTGTGGGCCTCTGCAGGAGATCCAAACACCAACTGGACTCCAGATCCTTCATGTATCAACCTGTTGTCCTGGAAACTCATTTTGAATCCAAAAACCATTAAATTCTTTATTGTTCGAGAATCACGCTGGAAACCTAAAGATTTTTCATGAATTAAAACGTCCAACAAAAATAATTTGAACCACTGCTGAAAAACAACAGGGTTTTTTTATTTGTCTATTTTAATCTAAAATTAAGTTTATTGTTGTTTATTCAGCCATAGAACAATTTCACTGTAACACAGATCCTTGTTGCTTCTGCACAACTTTAAGTTGCTCCAAAGGTAAAATCTACAGTTTTTATATTTATTTTCTGGACAAAAAGCGGAGGCAAAGTGTTAAAGTCACACAAAATAATCTTTAAAAACATAAAAAATAACAACACAGACACAATATTTTTCTGATTTTATTCAAAGATAAACAAAGTTGTTTTTATCTCAGTGAAAAAAGCAAAAATGTTCTTTCACACCATGCTTTACTCAACATTTTTCATTAAGAGGTAAATAAATTCTCCTCTCTTCATCTGAGCTGATGAAACTTTTTTTTTTTTTTTTTTTTGGACTGAAAGAAAAGATCCTGTGGAATGGAGCGATGGTTTTGCAGCTCCTGACGTGGATCACCACACAGATGTTCACAGAAACATCAATAAATAAACGTCCAGGTTGGGTAAAAGTGTGAAACCTTTCCTTGGTATTTACAGAGTCCTCTACCTTTATCAAATACAGAAAGCACCATGTTGCTCCATCAGAAGGGGAAAGAACAAACCGCTCCTTTTCTTCAAAAGGGGGGGTGGATGGGATGTCCCATGAGTCAGACGCAGTGTCGGCAGCACAGCACGGGGTTTCACTCGGCTTTCTTGGCCTTCCTCTTGCGGACGCCTTCACTCAGCTCCTCCTTGCTCTTGAGAGGAGAAGACGGGGCTGCGGCAGGAGGATGATGATTCTCCTCCTCGCCGCCGCAGAGAGGAGAGCCGAACAGCACGTGACAAATCCAGGACTCAACGAGGGTGAAGGGGGAGCCATGGGAGTGTCGGGCGGTCATCACCACCTGGGGGGTGCACAGAGACGCACACACTCAAAATACAAATTACAAAATGTCTGCATTCCTGTTTTAGGTCAAGGTTCTTTACTGTCATTTACACCACATGTGGTACATGTGGTGGAACGAAATTGTGTACACTGGGTCCCAGTTACATCCAACAAAAGTATAAAATGTAAACTAAGAATACGCTAAACACATTAGTACAAAAACAATACACCGAACAGCAGCACGAACATGAGTCTGTGTGAGCAGATGAGTACGAATGAACACAGCAGCGTGAAATAAATCAGCAGCATGAGATCAGCAGCATGGATAGTCAGCAGCACCAGCATAGACAAGAAATTCAAAGACTTAATGTGGTTTTAAGTTGTAAAAATCTGATGAAGTACCGTAATCCAATCTCTTGTTTTGAGATTCATTTAATTAATTCCATTTTTTTTTTTTAAATAATGTTTAAAAATGTGGGTCTTTTCTTAATCTTGTGATGTGGTTTGCATCTGGCCTTTAAAAGCTTCATATTTTAGTTAATTATGATCAGGTTCAGGCTTTGTTGAAGGAGGGGTGGCACAAAGAGGGTCGGGGGGTGGGGGGGGGGATGCGCAATGGCTATTTCTAGAAAAAAAAAAGATTTTGAAAATGACCCAACAAAGTGAAGTCAGGTCATCTGGATGATTCTTTTTTTTTTATGTTTGTTTTTTGTTGAGACGTTTCATCCTTCATCCAAAGGACTTCATCAGTCCAAGGAGCCACAACAAACTCAGTCCCACAAGCAGCACACTCTTGTGGGACCACTTGATCATATTGTTGTAACCACTGTGGCTGCCTCAAAGGAGTTGATGGCGGAGAGGGTGGGCTCTAGAAACCATCTTAACACCAGCAAACTGGTTGGCCAGTGAGTGTGCTGCTTGTGGGACTCAGTTTGTTGTGGCTCCTCGGACTGATGAAGTCCTTTGGATGAAGGACGAAATGTTTAAGCAACAAAAAAATAAGAAAGAAACTGTCCAGATGGCCTTACTTAACTTTGTTTGATTTTTTTACCTGGATTATTGAGCATGAACTTTGATATTTTGAAAAACAGTTCTGTGGAAAAGCTAAAAAAAACAAAAAAAAACGATTTATAAATAATAAAATCGCTTCATGTAGTTTGAGTTGTGGCCTAAATTGTAGTTAATTCTTAACAGCATATTGCCATTCATCATAACCTGTCTATTTTGTGTGTGTAAATTAATACACTGCTTTGCAAACACATAGTGTGAGTAACAAGTGGAAATGAGAGCAGGTGGCACCTGAATCAGGTTTGCTCATCATATTGTTCATGCAGCCATTTTAATTTATTATTTTAAATCTTTACAGGTTGACAGGAAACAATTGCTGCAACATTTGCACATATTGTCTCTTCTAACATCCTCCTTCTTCTGCGGTTTGTAACAGTTTTATTAAAACTGAATGCATGCCATTTAGCCCTGTGATGGACTTGCAACCTGTCCAGGGTGTATCCCACCTCTCGCACACTGATGGCTGGATATGGGCACCAGTGACTCCCACGTCCCGAAAAGGAAGAAGCGGGTAAAAGATAATGGGTGGATGAACGCCATTTAATCAGTTTGCACTGATTAAAGCAAAAACTGATGGATAAATCTGCAGATTTGCTGAAGGGAGCTCTCTTGTCTCTTATGTAAGTCTGAGATTTTGGTTTTATTCCCACCAGTGGTTTCCTCGTTGCATCATGAAGCATCTCTGACACACATAAAACTGCATGTATGGATGGATGAAAATATTTACCTGCAGCTATGATGTTCAGACTTCAGAGTTTAGTTTTTCACGAAAGCAATATTTTCTGTGCCATGTTTCCAGGATTTGTTTTACTCTGGAGTTCCTTATTATAGTCTCAGTTTCACCACAACTCTGTGCTGATGTTTTAAACGGCTTGTTAAAACCAGTTCAGAGCGATGCAGAACCAGAATCGTACCTTGCACGTGGCCATGAAGAGGGTGAAGACGAGGATGAGGGTGCTCTTGGAAACAGGCAGCCAGTGGGCTTCCTGCAGGGTGAAGAGGATGGCTCCGTACAGACTGGCTTTAGTCGGGCTGCAGAGACCAAAAACAGCCCGTCAGCAAAACAAAGCACTGCAGCACAAACTGGGCTTCATTCGGGTTTTAATGTTAACTGGATCTTTGACTGAAAATCTGATGCGTTTGGTTGAAAAGATAAATTATTTCTTCACTTTTGCGTTGTTATCAAAATAAAATCCCAAAATCAACTCTCTTAAACAAACCTGCTCATGTTTCCACATTGAAAATCATCCATAAAGTACAGTACACTGTGTATTAGGTTAAGATCATTGTGTTAAAAAAGATAAATTATTAAAGGTTGTTTAACCTTTTCATTAAAACTTGTAAATAACATTAAGCACACTCTCATGTAATATCACAAGATCTCAAGTTATCTGTTGGCGCTTGAAGTATGTGATGTGAATGACTCTCAGCTACTACCACACCACATTTTAGCTCGACATCTGCAAAATTCACCGAGGTGTAGACATTTTTGTGCAAGCGAAGCTCAATTAGATGTGTTCTTGCATTGGGTTACCTCTAAAAGCTAATCGGTTGTAAACATACATCCAGTAATCATTTTCTGAACGTTTCGTTAAAATTCATTCCGTGGATGATGGGATATTTTGCTAACAGACAAACATGCACACTCACAATGACATGCTGAGGACCTCGTTGGTCTCGGGCCTCCACACGCCGCGCAGCAGCTGCTCAAAATTGGACATAAGAGCCACTCCAGACCCTGAGAAGATAAAAATAGAAAGCGAGGTCAAAAATGAGGCCAAAACAGGCCGTGTTCTGTGTCTCCATTTATATCCAGTTTCAGTGGCCTTTTTTTAAATATATATATATATATATATATATATATATATATATATATATATTATTTTCAACACCTGCAGGGCCTCTCTCTGCAACAGCAAGGTTGTCTCTTGTTCTGAAAGACTGAGGAGGTGCAGCAGGAACATGGAGCGTTTTATAGCCCCTGCCTTGTCTGACCTAACAGGGTTCACCTCCTCAGACTGGGATGGAAACAAGACGTTTACCTGCAAATGAGATTAGGCTGCACTTTAATTGAAGCTCATTTAAGCTTTAATGTTAATGGTTGATTGTTGCGGAGGGTTTCCAACCAAAATAATAATAATCTGGTTCATAATATAGTGTGCAAAACTGTGAGGTTTACAACCTTCCAGGCACAGTTCTGCTAATCTTCTAAATAACTGAACTTCATGACTCTGTGTTAAATTGAAAATATTTTTGGTGGGAAATTTCAAAGCTTTTATAAAAGACTTAAATGAAGGATCTACAACCTTTGGCTCTGGAGTCACAAGTGTCTCTTTGGTCTTTCCACTGTGGCTCTTTGTATCTTTGACATTTATAGTCTTAATCACAAAAGAAAAGGTTGGTTTCCACCGTTTATGTTCAGTTTCTAACTTTGTCAGACACTTCATTTATTTAACTTCCCGCCTCACAGAACGATTTTTCTCTGCCAAATAATTCAACGTTTTTCATAAACTGAAGGAGAGACAAAACAAAAGGAGCAGTTTTACACACTTTACAGTCACACGTCATCAAAATACAACGGCTTCCTTTTGATTAACAAAGTAAAGCAAAATGTAAATAAAACTTGCAGCCATTTTATTAGAAAAATACGTCACAAATAAATTAACCATTTGGTCAAACTTTGATGTTTTCACTTATAATCTTAGGATGTAAGTATTATTTCAAAGTGTATTATAATTTTTACATGAATATGGTGAAATCTCACTTTGGCTGCATAGTTTTTAATTGTTTTGTTTAAAAGTTTGTTCTTTTTCTTTTGTCCTAACAGGAAAATAAAAAATAAAAATTCAAGAATTTTAAGGTTGTTTTTTTTTTATTTATAATGCAACAAATTATATATTTTTGTTTATACAATACTTGCAGAGTTGGGTTATATTAGTTATGTTCTGTGGCTCGGGACAATCGTTATTTAACCAGAGAAGGAGCAGACATTGAACCTTATGAGTAAAATATAATGAATTAATTAGGGTCTTTCTATCAAAAAGTCAATTAGTTGATAATAAACAAATTTAATTTGTTGTTTTCAAACAGAACTAAACTGTTTCTCATCACTCATTCAGTGACAAAAACACATTCTTACACTTTTTGAAGCCCGAGTTATTTGTGATGTGTAGAAACAATCTGCTTGGTTAAAGATATTTAAAAGTAAAACACCAACCTTTGACATATCCAACGATCACCATGATGAAGAAGCCGTGATGGTAGGCGTGGTGTGCGTGGTGAACGCCTGCGGCAATCTTACGGACGCGGACAACCTCCTTCAGGGCCACCAGCACCAGCTTGACCGGCAGGAAGGCCACACATTTGTAGAAGAGGTTCAGGGGGCAGTAAAAAATCAGATACCTGTTTGTTTTTCAAACAGAGACAGGAAGATGACACATAAAATGAAATAAATAAATAAATCAGAGTAGAGAAAAACATATTAAAAGCTTTGATATTTAAAACGGTTTGTTCATCACAAACAGCTCTCAGAGTTGAGAAATTAATTTTAAAGCCACATAGTATAAATTTATGAACTGAAATGTTCCAAGGATATGGAGGTAAAAGTGTTTTTAAGAAGTTTGGATCATATAAAATTAGGAATAAGTAGCTCCAGATTGAAAAACGACTGAGAATGATTTAAATAATAATAATAATGATGATGATGATGATGATGATGATGATGAAAATAAGCGCTCATATCAATCCTGATACTGACATCAAAGATTTTCTCAATAAAAATAAATCAAAAATTCCTAGATAACAATAAGAAGACACTTTTTTTAACATCCACAAAGCTCACACATGAAGGACAGACAGGGAATGTCTTTTATTGTTTACTGGTCTAAAGGTTTGATTAAAGCAGATGTTTCTGGGGGAACCTTCCTCACCAGACAGCTGAGGCCAGCAGGATGTGGCTGTTGTGTTGGAAATAGTCGACGGGGCTGCTCCCAAGCATGATGTCTGCCAGGATGTAACTACCGAAGCAGTAGAGCATGGCACAGAGCCAGGAGGCCACTGGACTCCTGCGAGAAACCTCCACTGAGCCTGCAGAACAGAGGACGAGACGTCAGGGCCTCAAACAGAGAACATAAAGAGACTTTCACACAAGGTTAGTGAGAGTTTGCTCAGTTTAAGAGGTTGAATTAGCTCTCAGTTACAATAAAAAAAAACACTTGTCAATAAAGAAGAGAAGGAGGGAGAGAGAAAAGGGTCTAAAACTGAACTTTTGCAGCCAAATTATTCTTAAGAGAATTTTTTTTCTTTGGCGCCCTCTAGTGGAAATCATTAAACATGACACGGTTAAACAGCAAAATATTTTTTTTAATTAAAAACAGGAATTTTCACATAAAGTCATTCTATTTGAACATTTGCTTTATTTCCAAACAGAAGTAAAAATGTGAAACTTTTATTGCATATAAACTAACATATATATTTTTAATCCCTTTAATAAACCTCACTTTATCCTGAAAATCTTACTGGAAACACTGTTTGGGATACTTATTGACTCTGCAAGAAAACAAACCACAATGTTTGTTTTTATTTAAATGTGAGAATTAAAATTTATTTGTGAAATATCTTGTCTTAAAAGTCAAACTGTTCCAAGCAGAGGACTTATCATCCGTGCACCCAGTGTGTTTCTGTGAGCTGTATCTTCATCTGTTTCAGGGCACGCCCTGTTCGTGCACGTTTTTATCCTGAACTAATATTGACTCCAGGAGACGACACGCATTTATGAATTCACAAACAATTCCATAAACGGACTGGTTTTAGCAGTGCTTCATAAACAGGCAGAGTATTTTATTTTAACTGTTTAAGCCACAGTTAATGTCTCTAACTCGTTCAGTCTTACAGCTAACTTTGGAGGGGCGTCTCTCTGTCATACGATCACATGAGATCGTGCACAACATTAAAGGTTTGACTGAAGCAGCTACAACTTCTTCATTTCTCATGATTTTAGTTGAAAACTCTGACATAATATCATTAATGTCATGACCTTTCTCTGTCATGTTGGTTTTATTGTATTTGTTTTTTCCTCGTTTCATTGTAACTTGGTTTAACCTTGGTGGTTTAATGTCACGTTCTGCACAGTCTTTTTCTCGTTTGTGAATCTGAACTCATTCTTGTTTTTGTTTTCGTCTTTGTTGCATCTGATGTGTGGTCTCTACTGAAACGTTGGATGAAATGTGCGGCCTGCTGACATTGCACCTGCAGGCACGTTCAGTCATCTGGATTCATCACATGTTCACAAACACGATGTGTTATTGACCTTTAAAGCTGCCTGTGTGATTTCCCTGGCTATCCACATGCTAACTTGAGACGTGCACCAGAATCTCCAACAACAGGTGGGAGGGGGTGTTGTGGTGCGACTGGAGCTCAGAGTAATGGGATCCTGAGAAATGTTGCCACGTTCCATAAATACATCTCTACATCTCTTCCTGCCACGCAGCCATCGGGCAGGGCATGACCTCTGACCCCACACTTGTCTCTCCTTCCCCTACATTTAAAACTCATTCATGTGCTCTTGTAACATGTGCCATGAACCGGTTGTCGCCACTGTGACAGCACCGACCAAAGGTGTTCTCACATGCACACGAGTCATTTGACTTTCAAATTATTGGTATGAAAATTCTGTAACGTTGAAATAAAACAGAGAGAAACATGCTGCAGTGGACTTTACCTCTTACATGCACAAGATAAATGTGATAAAACATTTGTCTTTTTGCTCTGAGTTCATTTTATATATGTAAAATAATTTATAATTCAGTAAAAAATGACAACCAGGACAGAGTTAAAACACCTCCATCTGTGTGTTCATTATATGCACAACACTTTATTTTATTTTAACCTGCCACCTACAGTACCCACAATGCACCACACCACACAGTTTAAAGATGTTGGCGGAGCAGGAAGCTGCTCCCTTTGTCCCAAACCTGCAAATTTATTTCTCTTTTGCACATTTTTTATTAAGTCCTCTCTGATTCAAGCCACAAAAACCAAATAAGAGATGTTCAAAATCAGCAGATATCTTCTTAAAAGTCACTGCAGCAGATGTGGGAAACATCTGTTTCAGATAAATGTCATAACGGATATAGGGGCCAAAAAGTTAATTCATACTAACTGTGCTTGTTTGTTGCTGCCTGGCTGAGGAAAATCTGTGTGATGAAAACTTAAAGATCATTTTTTGCTCGGATTATTAATGCACAAACTGCTCAGAGGAGCTTTCCACTCAGGCTCCTTGTTTGGTTTCTCCTCTCGCAAAGCTTCAAGAAAACAAGGACTGAACAGGGTGAACTTTGACCCCAGATTAATGAAAACGTCTTTCTGCTCCCAGATGCAGTTAAATCACGCTCGGCTCTTAATCCTTATTTCATTTTCATGATCAGTGCAAAGAAAACTCCTCTGTGGCCTTAAAATAAAACCCATTGAGTGGGGGTGAGGTGGGGGCCTTTGGAGGCACATGGGCTCTGTCTATTTCAGGCTCTTCTATATCTCACTGGTATGCACAGACCTTCACTCAGGTTTCATCCCTTCAGATTCTGTAGCTCAGTTAAATCTCAGATAAAATCAACCTAAAACCACCTGAGAGGTTTTATTTATTCGCTCTGAGGGATTTCCTTCAGTGTGAAGGAGGTCAATCTGCAGCAACATCTGTCAAAAAAAAACAGCAGAGCTGCTGCAGTTTATGTAACAGGTCACGCTTTATAAGGCAAGGGTTACAGAAAACAGCTAAATGAGGCAGGGACTTTCAAGCACTGCAAAGAGTTAAAACAAAAACCTTCTGATTACTCTGCAAAACCAATGTTTTTGTCTTTATCATTTATTTTAACATGATTTGCCTGTGACTTATTGCACTATATAAATTACAAGTATTGCAAATTTTAAGTGCAAGAGAAGCATGCATTATTGGTGATGCTATTGAATTTAAGTAAATGACATGAGCAAGTGCTGGAAACAAATAAAAAGTGGCATTAAAGCCTCTCACCTGGTTCATATTTAAGGTAGAGGATGGACACGATGTAATAAGCCAAATCAAACACGGGAAACATTCCCATTTTGGAGAAAGCATGAGCTAAATCGCCCAAATTGAGGACTGACAGCACGTTCTCCATGTTTCCTGTCTGATGAGCAGAAAAGATCCTGCTGTTTATTAATTATAATAAGTATTATTATTATTCCAACTGCGCAGTCTGCATCGGAAGCCCCCCGAACCTGCGACTCTCCACCGAGCCCCCCCGGTCTCTGAAGTGAAGCCTGTGAGAGACAAACCCTCCTATTAATATCACTCATACCCAGACCCCCAGTTTCTTCATCATCCTCCTCTTCCTCCGGAGCGGATAGGAGCTTCCAGCTGCTTCACACCAAGAAAGCAACACGAGGCTCGTCTCTGTCCTTGTCTTGAGCTGACTGAGGTTTAATGGAGCCGGGAGGCAGAGCAGAGACCCAAATACGCGTCCATATTGTTAAATCTGATGATAATTCATCTGGTTGTAACAAAAACATCCATGATCCGGATCAGCTGATCCTCCATCCGTGTCGCCATCTGATCTGATCTGATTCCTCTGAGTAGAGAAAACATATTTTACAGGAATATAAAACTATCAGAACTGCCTAGAGCTACGCTGATGCTATTTTATTTTATCATTATAGTTATTAAATAAAACAAATTGTATTACTGTATTGTTCCTTGTAAAGGCAACAAAAGTTCGCTAGAGGGCGCCAAATCCGCAAACTTCACAACTCGATTCACTTTTTTTGTTGTTTAAAGGGAAATAAAGTTGTTTTATATTTATCAATTATTGTTGCCACTTTTAAGCATTTTTCTTCATTTCAGATTAAAAAACATCTTCAAAATGTTTTATTTGCTTTTTGTTTGTTTTTTCATCTCGTTTGTGTGTTTCACATTAGCGTTGCTTTTCAAAGTTTTTAAAGGCTTTAAATAACTTCACTTGCAGAGAATTAACTGTCTTTGACTGTTTTTTTTTTAAATAAGAAGCTATTGATAATGCTAACATTTAAAGTTTCTGTTTAAAATAAATCAAAATATCATTTAAATGTCACGTTTTTGTTGGATAATTTTACATTTGTATTTATTTTAGCAAACAACATATGATTGTTAAAGCAAACAAATAAGAATATATTTTCATAAAATCTATTTAACATCCATGTGTTATAAAATATACTATCACATGTTCTGATCATTATAAAGTAGATATATTTGCATTTTTTATTTTGAAAATGCTTCATTTTCTCCCCTTTGTCATGTTTATGCGTAACTTGAAGTTATCAAAACTAAATTTGATTATTAAAGCACACCTTCCGTCGTCTTTTAGCTGTTTTATCTTTCGACTCAAACCGTTCATGAGTATAAATATCAACATTTGTTTGCACTTATACTAAAATAATTTAAACTTAAGTCGAACAATCAGTTTGGTTCTGTTTGCCATTGAGGGTTAGACGCCTTGCAGTCAAAACTGAGGGCATAAAAACTTCCATTGTAACAGCGTACTGAATCTTGATTGGCTACATTCCTGATTGCGTAAGAAACACGGAAGTGGGTCAGTTGTGTTGACATAATGCTCGGAGATCTCTTAATTTTCGGGTAATTAATAATTTGCGTTCTCATTTCTGCATAGAAAAAAAACCTCTGTGTGACTGTGGTGTTCTGTGTTTATCTTGCTGTGTTTTGTTTTAGTCTTAAGAGAGAGTTTTAACTCGAGAGAGAAAAAATGCCAGCTCAGCAGCTAACAGTGTTAGCTCACCATTAAATTAACATTTTGCAGTCAAATACGTTTTTGTTTTTCTTTGCTCTTTAGGACTTTATTGGTGAACGCGGGGGCTGTGCTGAATTTCAAACTGTGAGTATAACCACCATGTCCTAATCCTTTCCCTAAATATAGACACAGTCTCTGTTTGATGCTAATGCTAGCTGCTGCTGTTTTTCAGGAAAAGGAAAGAGTCGCAGGGTTTTGGAGATGAGTCCGGAGCTCCAACAACAGGTGTGTCAGTAATGCATGGGAGAAGAGATAAAATCAAAGAAAATACTAATTTTCACAGCAATCTGAAGTGATTTACAATGAAATTAACATTCTGCCAGACAGTGGTGGAAACTAACATTAACACTAACATTACTACTGAAGTACTGCACATATCTGTACGTGTTTATGCACACTTTCTTTAATATTATAGTGATACTTGAAACAACACAAACAAAATACTTTGACTAAAAGCCACTTTATTTATTTTGAACTACAGGGTCTCATTTTCAAGACAGACCAGTTCCAGACATGCTAACAATATCAGAAACATCATGAACAAAAGTATCAGTTGAGTTTTATCAGTATTCAAGTAAAAGTAGTACAAATAAAATCCAGAAAATTAACAAACTTCCACTGTCTGTAAAAAGTGTTCCTGCAATGTGGACAAGTCCTTTAAAAAAACAACCAAAAAAATCCACAACTGTGTTAATTTGGAGAACTGAGAAATTATGGTTTGATTCACAGAATTACAAATTTAAGCTGTCTTTGTTGTTAGTCTTTGTTATTCCTACTAAATAAAACCATGGATTGAACACCCAAACAGAAGTAATTAAATATTATTTGCCTGAGATTGGTAATATTAAGGCTTTTGTTTTTTTTGGTAAATCTTTGGTAAAACACAATGGCTGCAACTATGCACCAGATATTGATTAAAAATAAAATTATGTTTGTAATATTAAAGTTTGTCTCCTGAGTTTACTTACAAAAAAAAAATCATAGAATAGGACAGAGTTATCACAGTTCTTTAAAGAGAAAATAGTTTAATGTTTTCATGAAATTATCAATGGGAATTAGAAACAATTAGTTCTTGTTACAGGGGTATTACTACAAAAAACTCTATAAATATCAAATATGTCATAAAATATTTTTTTTTCAACAGGTAGCCAGTGGTAATATAGATATTGTTTAGTTTTTGCTCTCTGAATTTGATGCTGCATAATAATAATGTTACACATTAAATCTTCAGTACAAATCTGCCGCTATGTATGTATCAGATATGTTTGCCTGTTACAAAGTAGAATTTACTTTGCAGGGCTTGTAATAGTTTTAAATTAATTGTTGTTTTATTAAATTAATCTTATTTTTGTTTCTCAGGTGACAACATCCGAGAGTTCCTGCTCAGCCTGCGATACTTCAGGATCTTCATTGCTCTGTGGAACGTCTTCATCATGTTCTGCATGGTCTTGTGAGTAATTCTGATAGTTTCATGATCCCCGATGTTACAACCAGGAAGTCAGGGATTATTGTTCGACCGCTGATTAAATCTGAAAGCTTCAGTCTCTTGAATTTACTGACAAGATTTTACTGACAACTTTATTTATTTGTCTTAATTAACTTTACTTGATGGATAATTATGAAAATGAACCCGCAGTACTCACACTCTGCTGAAAACTACCACTTTATTGTGAAAAATTAATAAATAAATCCGTAATTCTAAGATTTATTCAGCAGCTCTATTTGCATGATGATGAGGAAGAACTGACTCAGTGAAGTTTATTGTATTTAATTAAATTAATGTTATATTTAATAAACTGCTCAATGGATTTGCAGTTCAATAATGTGGTTATTTTCATAAAGCAGGAGTTCTGTAAGCTCTGTATCTCAGGTTCAAACTCGTTTCCAGTTTTTAAAACGTAAACGTGACAAACTCTTCAGAAACTTCCAAAAAGTTAACAATAAACTTCTCTAACCAGATGAATGTTTCAAATTTCAGATTGTTTGGATCATGATCAGTGTTTGGAGCGACCGGACCTCCATCAGAAAGTGAACTATTCAACACAAACGCTACAAACGTCTCCCTGATGTCTGCTGCTTTTCTTTTTGTTCCTTTTGATTGCAATATTGCTCCATTTTCTTTACAACCCTGGAATTGTAAATTTTCTTCAGACCAAACTGGAGACAATAAATTTTTTTCTTTTTTTAGAAGTCGTGACATTTTTACAGTTTTGTTTTAGCTGTAACCGTCTCATCTTTGGTGGTCGTCTACTTCTTTTAGTGCGCGAGTTGTTTATCTTGAACGTGTCAGAAATGTTCTTTTGTTTCTTGTTCACAGCTGTCCGGATGTCACTGTAGTTTTGTAACCACCTTGTTTATGGATAAACACTCAGTTTTTGTCCATCAGATATAATTTGTTGGGCTGTTTTGGAAGTAAAAAAAAAAATTATTTATTTCCAACTGTAAGTAAATATATGTACATCTCACTGTAAGGATGTTCTTACTCTAAATAAAGAATACATTTTTTTCCTATTGAACATGCTTTTGGATATAATAGAATAGAACAAACAAAAAGTTAAACTGAATATTTTTTATTGTAGGCAAGTTATTTAGGTCGTTTATTTGAGCACAACTTTAACGGTATTTTGACAACGCATTAAAAATTGTAATTCGCAAGATCCTGATGGACTCGTACACATCTAGAAAAGCATGTTAATAAAGAAAAATGCAATAAATTATATTTCTATGTAATATTCCAGATGAACCTAGTGGTCTTATACTTATTTTTTATTTTATTTTATTGGGCCAGACAAATCCCGTTGAGATCACAGATCTCTTTTGCAAGAGCCAAGTCAACCTAAAATGCATGTTTTGGACTGGGAGGAAACCAGAGTACTGGAGAAGGCATGTAAACATGAGGTCAACATGCAAACTACACAGAAAAAGCCCAGAGATTGAACCCAGCACCTTCTTGATGTGAGGCAACCGCTAACCACTAATCCAACTCACCCATTGTTGTGGCCACAGATCTGCTTCAGATTTTTACTGCATCTTTAATGTTCTGTAAATAGTTTACAAATAAGTTTGTTGCAGCTCTTCCTAAACTAGATATAACATTCAGGTTTTATAAAATATACAAAGAAAAAACACACAGAAAATCTTTTAAAGACTTTACATTTATTTTACATTATCTCTCAATGTTTAGAAAAACACAAAGCAACAGAAATAGTGTATTAACTTTTTATACAAGCAGTTTAACCAAACAGTTTAATAATCTCAGTGTGTTCCTCGTGTTGCTGCGTCAACATTAAGTCCTTTAAAGAAGGAAACAGTTCATCAACACGTCTCTTTTCAAAGATTGTCAGTTTGTTTTTTGTGAAGTTTTGTTAATAAAACTGAAAATAGTTTATTTTACAGCTTAATAGTTTAAAGTTCATGACCACTGCTGTTTGAGTTTAATGCAGCGTAGTTTGTTTGTTTACCACCGGACAGAAATGATCTTCTTTTTATCACTTCAGCTATTAAAAAAAATTCCAGTTCACGATTTCTCTCACCTTGACGTTTTAGTTTTTTTTTCTTTAAAACAGTTTGTTGTCACCTTTGTATCAACTTTGACACTTTTAATAGTTTGCTTGTGAAAAATCATTGTCGTAGACATCTGAAACAGACAAACCACCCAATAAAAACAAATATCAAAATAAGCAGAATAAATAAATTAATATTAAATAAAACTATTTTTAAATTTATTACATAATGTAAGAATTCATACTTACCACTTGGATAATCAACATCATCATATATTTCTCCTTCCCTGAAATGAAAGATTGCTGTTAGTGCACAAAAAAGATTTTTGGACATTAATGATAATTCTATATATATATATATATATATATATATATATATATAAAAAAGAACAACACGTTTGACAAATGAAACTTGTCACAATACCAGTAAGATTAACAATTAGTGTAGCTAAAACAATAACTATCCTGAGTAAAAATAGTTTTTAAATTAAATCACAAGAACTCAGGCGGATTGACTCACATGGGAAGAAGAAGAGCTGTAGAAACATAACCATCTGTGAAGAGAAAAATATTTCATGATTTACTGTCGACCTCCATAGCGGGTGATAATGTAATTGCATGTGTATGAGTTTGTTTCTTCGTTACAAAATATCTGTTTAAAAAAGCAGAAAGGCTTCATTGAAACTCACAGTAAGTAATCATTGGTTGGATGAAAGAATATTTAAAACCAAAGACAACACAATTCAAGATGGCCACCACCGCAATTTATCCCTGGAAAACCAAAATCATGGCTACAACAGTCACTTTTACAGATATTGAGCCAAAGTTAGGTGTGGTGAGAATTATCTGTAATCCTTCAAGAGATCATATGAGATTGTTTCAAATATCTTTGTCATTTTTCACAATAAGAAAAGTTTAGTTTCAAACTCTGGCATGAAAATGTTGTAATTAAATAGTGCATAATCCTGATGAGTGGACATGAGTGGGTGACAGGTCAAAGAGCAATTCCAAAAACACATATAGAGAGAATGCAGCAAGGAGCTCAGTGTCCTTTGCTCGAACGTGGGTTAATGGGGCCCCACCCTGGAGCCATGGTGGAGGGGCTTGTCAGCTAGTGCCTGGTCTCTACCCATGGGGCCCATTCTGGCTCAGCCCAAACAAGCAACATTGGTTTGCCTTCCTGTGGGTCCACCACCTGCAGGAGGGGCCATAAGAGTCGGATGACTCCATGGGCAGTTGCTGAAAGTGGGGACCTTGGCGCTCTGACCCTAGCTTATCAAAACTTGCTTTTGGGACAAGAAACATAACCTTTCTGGTGGGGAAGGAGTATGAGCTTGTGTGTGAAAGTGCTGGACCTTATTCTACTCTGGAGTTGCCCATGGTGTGGAACACTGAGCTTGTGTGGGTCTACACTTAGTCAGAGTGGGCCATGTTCTGCACCTCAAATGTTGAAGTAGCTGCCTTGAGCTGTGGCTGCAAGGTTGTTGGTACTTCTCATAGTGGCCATCTTTAAACTTGGTGGGGGACACCCCGGGTTAGGGATGCTGTCAAGCTGAAGAAGGGGTTCTGTCAGGGCTTGTTTGCTGGTGGGACTCTAAAGGCAGCTGAGGAATACCGGAGGGCCAAGTGGTCCGCAGCCTTGGCTGTTGCTGAGGCAAAAGCTCTGATGTGGGAGGAGTTCAGTGAGGCCTTGGATAGAAACTCTTTGGCTCTGAGGAGAATCTGACAAACCATCAGGTGGCTGTGGAGGGAAAGCAGTGCTTTACTAACATTATGTTCAATGAATTATGTCATTGGGAGGTGGAAGAAATATTTCTCGGACCTTTTCAATCCCACCGGCACATCTTCCATGGAGGAAGCTCATTTGGGGGACTTCAGGTCTGGTCTATCCATAACCATGACTGAGGTCGCAGAGGTAGTTAAAAAGTTTTGCATCTGCAACGCTCCAGTAGTGGATGAGATCTGCCCTTTTTTCCTTAAGGCTCTGAATGTTGTGGGTCTGTCCTGGTTGACACATCTTTGCAACATTGCATGAACATCGGGGGTAGTGCCATTGGATTTGCAGGTGGTTCCCCTTTTCAAAAAGGGGGACCGGAGGGTGTGCTCCAACTATAGGTGCATCACTCTCCTTAGCCTTCCTGGTAAGGTCTATTCAGGGGTACTGGAAAAGCAAGTTTGATCGTTGGTCAAACCTCAGATCCAGGAGGAACAATGCAGGTTCAGTTCTGGCTGTGGAACACTGGAGCAGCTCTCTAGTCCTCAAGGGGTCATGGGAGTTTGCCCAACCAGTCTACATGTGTTTTGTGGACTTGGAGAAGGTGCTTGACATTGTTACTTGGGGTACACTGTGGGGGGTGCTCCATGAGTATGAAATTGAGGGGCCGTTGTGATGGGCTGTTCGTTTGCTATACAAGCAGTGCAAGAGTTTGGTTTGCAATGCTGACAGTAACCCTTCAGGGTGGGAGTTGGACTCCACAGGGCTGCCCGATGTCACAATTCTGTTCCTAACTTTTATGGACACAATTTCTTGGTGAGGCCAAGGGGTGGAGGGATTCCAGTTTGGTGGTCTCAGGGTTCCATCTCTGCTATTTGCGGATGATGTGGTCTTGTTGGCATCATCGTGCCGTGGTCTTCAGCTCTCAATGGAGTGGTTCACAGCTGAATGTGAAGCGGCTGGGACGAGAATCAGCACCTCCAAATCTGAGGCCATGGTCCTCAACCAGAAAAAAAAAGTTGGATTGCTCTCTTCAGGTCGAGGGTGAGATTCTTTCTTTGTTGAAATCAGGTCTCTCTTGTAAATGAGTCCTCAAGGCTCAATGGGATTTACCTGTATAAATAAAGGTTGATTGATTCTGCAGCAAGTGGAGTAGTTCAAGTATCTTGGGGTTTTGTTCATGAGTGAGGGATGAATGGAGCATGAGATTGACAGACAGATTGGTGTGGCATCTGCAGTATGGCATACTCTGTACCAGTCCATTGTGGTAAAGAGGGAGTTGAGCTGTAAGCCAAAGCTCTCTGTTTACCAATTGGTGTATATTCCTACCCTCACCAATGGCCAAGAACTCTGGATAATGACAGAAAGAGAGAGACTGGAGATAAAGGTGGTTGAAATGAGATTCCTCCCCAGGGTAGCTGGACTCCCCCTTAGAGATAGTGTGAGAAGTTCAGTTATCCAGGAAAGACTCGGAGTAGAACTGCAGCTCATCCACATTGAGAGTAGCCAACTGAGGTGGTTCAGGCATCTGGTAAAGATGCACCCATGGCACCTCCCTAGGGAGGTGCTTCAGGCATGTCTGACTGGAAGGAGACCCTGGGGAAGACCCAGGACATGCCAGAGAGACTATATGTCTCTCGGTTGACCTGGGAATGCCTTGGAATTCTCTTAGAAGAGCTGGAGTGGCTGTGGAAAGATATGTCTGGGCCTCCCTGCTCAAGCTGCTGCCCAGTTGTGACCCGACTTCGGAACAAGTGGAAAATAATGGATAGATGGATCCATCCATCCATCCATCCATCCATCCATCCATCCATCCATCCATCCATCCATCCATCCATCCATCCATCCATCCAT